TTCGGGGGCTTGTTGGAGGGGTTGCCAGCCGTTCCCGGGACAAGGGAACGGTCACCTGCGCGGCACGTGCTCCCCTCTCCCTTGTACAGCGTGGCCAGGCCAGCGGCCAGCAGCTCCCCGGCCCCATGCCGGGAACACAGGCAGGATCTGGCAGCCCTTCTGGGAAAGCACCGGAGCGGGGAGCACGTGTCCCCTCCCCGCGGCTCGCAGGCCATACTGGAGGGCATCTGCTGCTCTGTGCCTGTGCTGTCCCTGCAGGAGGGGACAGTCTCTCGCTGCCACGGCTTACCCAGCGCTTTGCCAGTGGCAGCTTAAAAAAAAGGAGCCTCAGGTTTGTTTTTGCTCCTGGCAAACAACTCCCCCTGCGAACCCGAGAGGCTGCTGGGACGCAGCCGCCGGCACCCAGCGTCTTCCAGCACGGGGGTGCACGGGCCCCCGCTGCGGCTGCAATGCCCTTTTCAAACAGCGATGGAGCAGGGGTAATTTTTTTGGTGGTTTGGGACTTTTTCTGTTCCTTCTAGGAAACCGTGCAATGTGCCAGCCTGCACCTCCCCTCCCACCACATCCCCCAGCTCCCGGGGCTGCCCCACGGTGACCCGGCAGCAGTGGGTTGGGGCTGCTCCTGCAGGTTTCACCCCTTCCCGGGGAATTTGGAGGATGGAGAGGGGCAAAAAGAGTCCGGGGTGTTTAAAAGCCGCCTGGAAATGCTTCTCCCATCTGCCACCGGTGACCAAGGCGGGACCCCCACCACAGCACACGGCGTGAGCTCCCTCCCTGCCCCGAAGCTGCAGCTCCCAAAGCTCCTGTCCCTTTTTTCGGGGGCTGCTCAGATTTCCCTCCCCGCAGTGACTCCGTCCGTCTTCCCTGCAGATGCCTGTGCCGGGTCCCAGCCCAGCCCCACCATCTCCATCTCCTCGTCCCCTGGGTTTTGGCTGGTGCAGGGTGATGGAGCTTGGGCCGGCCGTGTCCCTGCGGGGCTGCTGGAGGACGCTCCCCATAGATGCTCCCTATCGAGCCGCGTCTCCGCTCGAAGGCTTTTTTGGGGTGAAACCACCCTGGTGCGTGTTTGTGCCCTCCCTCGGGGCCACGCTGCCCGACTGCTTCGGCTGCGGGTTACGGCTG